GAGTAAAGAATACACAATGGAGCAAAGAAAGTTTGTTCAATAAATGGTGCTGGAAAAACTGGGTTGCTACATGCAAAAGAATGAAGCTTGACTACTACCTCACACCATGCACAAAACCAACTCAAAATGGATTAAAGAACTAGACATAAGACCTGAAACCATAAAATATATGGAAGGAAATATAGGCAAAACATTGCATGACATACACCTCAGTAACATCTTTAAAGACACATCACCCTAAGCAGTGATAGTGAAGGCAAAGACAATCAGTTGGGACTACATCAAATTAAAGAGCTTCTGCAGAGCAAAAGAGACAGTAACTAAAACAAAGAGACACCCCACTGATTGGGAGAAAAATTTGCTCAGAACACTAATGATAAAGAGCTGATGAGACTCAACAAAAACAAAGTAAATAATCCAGTCAAAAAATGGGCAGAAACTTCTCCAAAGAGGAAATGCAAATGGCCAACAGGCATATGAAAATATGTTCAGCATCACTTGCAATCAGGGAAATGCAAATCAAAAATACAGTGAGATACCATTTCACACCAGTGAGAATGGCACATATTAAAAAAACTAGCAACAACAAATGTTGGCGAGGATGTGGAGAAAAAGGAACTCTCCTGCACTGCTGCTGGGAGTGCAAACTGGTCCAACCACTATGGAAAGCTGTATGGAGATTCCCCAACCAGCTAAAGATGGACCTTCCATATGATCCAGCAATTCCACTCCTAGGTATCTACCCAAAGGACACAAAATCATTAATTCAAAAGGACACCTGCACCCCTATGTTTATAGCAGCATTATTTACAATAGCTAAGCTATGGAAACAACCCAAATGCCCAAAAATAGATGACTGGATCAAGAAGACGTGGTACATATACACAATGGAATATTACTCAGCAATCAAAAAAAGATAAACTAACGCAATTTGCAGCAACATGGATGGAGCTGGAAGGGATCATGTTCAGTGAAATAAGCCAGAAAGAAAAAGAAAAATACCAGATGGTCTCACTCATAGCAGGAATTTAGAAAAACCTAAATAAGGAACCAGGAAAAAACCTAATTATAATAAAATCAAAATCAACAAGCAACTCTAAACCAGAGACACACTATGGGGGTGAGGGGGGAGGAGGAAGCAGGATCAAAACAAGGGGGGTGGAATTGTATGGGGACTATAACCAAGATGAAAATGCATACATTGCACAAAAATGAAAAATGATGTAAAAAATGTATAAAATTTTTTAAGAAGTGCAGAAAGTTAGGACAGCAAGGAGCCAATATAGAAAGCAATGAAAAATTCTGGAGTCACTCTGTTCTGAGTTGGTTCAGATTTCTGTCTCTGCTGCTTACTAGCTGAAAATAAAAAAATAAATAAATAAATAAATAAATAAATAAATAGATAAATAAATAAATAGTGGATCTTCCACACAAAGAAAAACAATGCAGTCATTAAAAATAACACTGCACCACCATGTTAATTAATATGTGACATTCTGATTAATGAATAAAGTGGGTTTCAAAGTAATAGATATAGTACAGCAGCATTTGTGTGTTTCATAAAGTGTATGCATGTACTTAGATTATTGGGGGGAAATCTGAAAAGATATGCAATAATGTTTAGTGCATGTTTTTATTATATTGAAAGTAGGATTGCAGATCACCTAAATTTTTTATTTTTACTAATCTGCAATTTAAGTTTCTTCAAATTGAATATAAATTATTACTGGCTCTGCATTTTAAAAAGCAGTATGTGACATTTTTAAGGCATCCACTTCTAAAATATAAATGTTTGAAAGTAAATCACTAGGGAATAAAAAAAAGGAATAAAGTCATTATTTTAGCACCTGAAAAACAGTTTGGCTGACCAACGAGTTATTAGACCACAATCAGTTTCTCTCTAAACTCTTTAGTCATATCGTTCCATGGAATTCTGGCATTTAGTTTTGTGAACAAATAAGATGCTGATTTTTTTCATTTTAGATAATTTGTGATTTCTGACTGCATGTATTTAACATTTTTATTTATTCTTTATATTTTAAAATGCAACAGAATACACATGTATTTAGAGGTGTGTATTGTATTTTTTTTAATCATTACTGATAACTTCTCGTCTAAAGTCAGATTTCTAGTCCAGAGAACTTTTCTTTAAATTCATTTTTTTTAATTGCCTGCTCTCTTTAGTAGAATCATTGCCATCCATAAACTCTTTTCCTCAAATCTGTTCTCCATATCCTTTACTATTTTACTCAGGTTGCCATTTCTTCCACCTTTTTGCTGATTTCTGGGTAAATTCACAAGCATTTCTGGTGAAAATTGTAAGATCAAAAGAGTTATCTGCTCATCACTGATTCCATAACATTTTTAATTCTGTAATTATGTTTTCCTTTGAAAGCCATATTTGCTGCCCTTTTCATAGGCACAACAGCCTCTCAAATCTTGTTTTAAAAACAAATAAGGGATTATCTCCAGTTTCCACCTGCTTCTTGAAATAAGATCTTTCACAAAGAAACATTACCTTCTTCCCCAGATTAATTCCCATTCTAAGATCTGCCAAATATCCAGTCATTTTCTCTTTTTTACTTATCTTTAAAAAATATAGCTCAATATGGGGAGTTAAGGTGGATTTGCAGTGTAGATGTCCTTCCTCAAATCTTCTAATCACAGATGAAAGAAGTAACCTTGCTGTGAGTTTTCTCTTCCCAACAGCCTCCTTTCTTGGTCATAATGTTTTATGCTCTTAATATACTGACTAGTTACATTAAATAAGATTTTTCTATCAATGTTAAAAAGTTGTGTTTGTTGAGTTTGGGTTGTGGGTTTTTTGTTTCTTTTTTTTAAAGATTTATTTATTGATACAAAATCTGGGGTACAGGCCAGATGTGTGGGAGGGTGAGAGGATTCACCAGAGATAGAGCGAGTGGGGAACAGAACAGGCAGACTGAAGAAATACACTGCTGAGGGGAGCAGCGGGCGCAACAGGAGAGGACTGCTTGCCATGTGGGATTCTCGCTGGCCAGCCGGGATCGAACCCATGCTGCAGGGGCTGTGGACAACTTCACAGCGCAGTGTTCAACTGCCTGTGCCACCAGGGGAGGCCCTGGGTTGTGTTTTTTTGTTGTTGTTGTTTTGTGTGTGTGTGTGTGGTGGTCTCTTTTAGATTAAGAATGCTTTCAAAAACTAGACTTGTTTTCTGTAACAGCAATGGAATTAGCAAAGAAACTCACCCATAAAACCACCCAGCCTAAGAGCCCTTTACAGGAAGATTCTATAATACACTTTTAATTCTATCACTGCTATGTTTAGTATTTCTGCTTTTTCAATCTCTTAATTTATATTTTAAGAAAAATGTATTTCATAATAACTTTAATAAGATGTAATTATACATCATCTTTCATATTTTAAAAGTTTTGCTTCCTCTATTTTTATTCCAAAATATGTGCTCAATGAGATTATTTATCCTTTCTGCTTTTTATTAATTAACTTTTGCTCATATTTTTATTTTTTGTCTGGTTTTTTAAGTTGATTTAAATGTATATTTTCTGACTTGAATACTTAGTCCAATTATTTTCATTTTTCTTTTTTTTTTTTTAAAGATTTATTTATTTATTTATACAAGCACTGGGTACAGTCAGAAGCGCGGGAGGGTGAGAGAATTTACTAGAGCCAGAGCAGGAAGCAGAACAGGCAGACTGACGAAATACACTGCTGAGGGGAGCAGCGGGCAGCAGGAGAGATCTGCGTGCCATGTGGGACCCTCGCCCAGAGGTCAGGGATCCAAACGGCGGCGCTGCAGACGCTGCGGGCAGCTTCGCAACCCAGCGCTCAACTGCTGTGCCACCCAGGAGGCCCCATTTTCATTTTTCAAACAGTGAAAACATCTAACATTTAAATCCACATTGTCTTCATTGCAGTAACACTAATATAAAAGTACCCTAACATTCTTTACCTTTAAAATAATCTAACTCTATAAATTTTTCCATGACTCAAGTAGGTACATAGAAAAATTTTAAAGACCAAGCTATATGGAGTTGCATTCACTCTCTCACTCTCTTCATTCTCCCTCGCTCCCTCCCTTCCTTTCTTTCTCATAAAAAGCAAATACTACAGCATACAACAAAGTTTATAGATTAACCTGGGAGTCATTTTCCTTTTAATAGAAAAGTTTGCCATCTATGTAAATTGTCATTTATACACATGTATTACTATATTTGATCTTGTTCAGTCATTTGGTTTCATACTTTCTTGCTTTTATTGTTTCCTCTTTATACTGTTTTTGCTTTGCAGATGGTTTTGTTGACTATTTTCTTTGGTAATTTAGAAGATAAATATGTTTTATTCCATTCTATAAATAGTAATATGAAAGTTTTTAAAAACCATTCTCCTTATTGCTTTTACCATAATATGACACTTATCAACATAATGTCAATAATAGAATTCATTCCTTACTTTCACTTCTAGGAATAAGACACTTGTCACTTTCTATCTTCATCTTTCCTTGCTAGCTTTTCTCTCACTAAGCAGGGGTTGGTAACCTGTGCCTTTTATATATAGATCAGTCTTTCTCAATGTGAGCAGAGGGCACCTGGCAATCCCTGAGACACTTTCAAGAGCTCCATGAGGTCAAGACTATGTATATAAATATACATTTATTCATGTGGTATTTATTCATTTATTCATGGACTTAGATATTGGAGCTCATTTAATGGAAATATTTGTTTTTTAAAGACAACTTCCTTGTCTTAGTGGGCATTTCTGAGTACATGACTTACTCATTGCAATAGGATCCTTTCTTTTTCTTATAGTAATCCTTTTCAGGATACATACTCATAGCAACCAATGAGGTTTAGTGAAGTGGGGCTTGCGTTTCTTCGAATCACAAAATCACTTTGTAATTCCCATGAATTTTCTTTTTTGACTTCTCAGAAGGGAAAAGCTATGGTTATCAGTGTGATTTATCATTTCATTCATTTACTCAGCAAATACTTCTGAACACTTACTTTATGGCAAGTGCTGTGCCAGAGATACAACAATGGCCCCACCCTCAACTCTGGTAGTCCATGGGGCAGTCAGAGAAGTAAAGGCCCATGTAAATACAGTAGCAGATGCTGCAGTGTCACAAAGTCCACAGTGCTAGGAGAGAACAAAGAAAGGGCGTGCTTAACCTGGGGTCATGAAGTGTCCCACTAACCAAGTAAGTAAACACTGAATCCTAGAGGTTAAGTCTGACTCAAACATCGTGTAGGGAGGAGAAGCAAAGCAGTATGCAGGGTTTAGTGAAAGAAAGAATTCCAGGTAGAGGCAACAGTTTGTTCTGAAAGAGAGATTGTATGTATCCTTAAGAAACTGAATTTTGAAAAGATAATCACTAACATTCATTAAGCACCTTTGGTGATTTAGGCACTCTGCCAAAAAATGTAAATACCTTATCTCATTTCATCCTCATAACAGCTCAATGATGTAGGTTAACTGTCCAAGATTCCCCAGCTAGTAAACGGCATAACCAGAATCTGAAATCAAGGAAGTGTGACTTTGCAGCTCACTCATTCACCACTATATATCATCCTGCCTCTCTGAAAAAACTCAGTATGGTTAAATAATGTGTGTGTATATAAAGGGGTGGAGTGAGGTCAGTGTGGCGTGTGTGGGGGGAGGGGGTATGATGGAGGAGGTGTGGGGCTGTGATATAGTTTATGTGGTGTGTGTGGTATAGTGTGTTGTGGTGTGCATGTGTGTGTGGTATATGTGGTATGGTGTAATATATGTGGTGTGCTATAGTGCATGTGTGTTGTGGTGTGGGGTTGAGTATTTGGTGCTGCATGATGTGGTGTAGTATGTTATGTGCAGTGTGATGTGGTACAGGGTGTGGTGAGGGTATGTGATATAATGTGTGTGGTGTGTGTGGTGTGGTATATGTGGTGTGTTGGGTATGGTGTGTGTTGTGGTATGTTTGGTGTGGGGTGGTGCAGTGTGGTGTATATGTGTGTTGTGCTGTGCTGTGCTGTGTTGCGCTGTGCTGTGCTGTAGTGGGTGGGGCAGGTTGGGAAGAAGGGAAGAAGTACCAAGCCAGCTGAAGAGTTTAGAGTACCCTAACAACAAAGAAGAATAAAACCTGGAACAGGAAAACTTGAAGCAACAGGTGGTCATGGTGAATTGTGGACGGTCTCCCCAAGGAAGGTGAATTTCCAGCAATGAGACAGAAGCAGAATGCAGATAAAAATTTTAAGCCAGACCTAAAGTCCTTGGTGATTATGGAAGAGTGACCAGGAGGTTCAAGAGAAGGAGAGAAGTATGTGGCCTGATATGTATTTATCAAAATGGTATTTGAAAGGACAGAAGAGGGAAGTGGTCCGGAAGTGAGGATGATGAGCAGGGGAGCCCTCACCCCACCTCCTGGTCCTAAGGGGAATAATTGTCAGAATAAGAAGGGGAAAAATGGCCTTCATTTGCAAAAGAATACAGAGAACACAGGTTGTTAGGGGCCAGCCACAGTTTGAGTAAGGCTAGAAGTAGAAGGAACATTCCTAAAAAACTAAAGATAGGTGGAAGTTTACTTGCAGGAGTTCAAAGCAGAGCAGGGAAGTTTAAGAGGAAAGTTCAAGAGGCTAGGTTAGCTAATGGGATAAATCCAGAAGTAGGAAGATAAGAATCAATTTGGAGCAAGCTGGACGTGGTGTGAGCAAGGGGGTTCTGTTGGCCCACAAATGATTCTGTTCTAAGGTTACTGTGCTGAATGAATTCCTCATTGTTTGTCTTGATGACCCTAGCTATGTAGCAGTTCTCTTTGCTATCCTGGGCAAAATCCTATTTATTTTATCCTATTCTGCCCTAGTATTCCCAGCTTCACCATGTGAACCACTGCACCTTTCTGAGGTTGTATATCACAATCTCACAATACCAGTCACTTACCATTCCAGCTAGTCAGAGAAATTTACTGACCCTGGCTAAGCTTCTTCCTCAGTTTGGGGTTTCCATTCCCAAAGATCCCTGTCTGTGGAAATTCCTGACTATCCTTGTAAGTTGTGTGTACTTGGTAGTCCTATGTAACAACCATCACACCCTATCATCTGTACTACCACCCTACCACCACCACCACCATCATGGATACCCTCATCACAGAAGAGTATGAAAATCACGAACTATGTTAACTTGACATATATTGTACTATAAATGTTCTTTTTAAGAATCCGCTATAGAGATGTTGGACATCACTGTGGTCACTGATCATCAGTGAATAACCCTCTTGGTGATGGGCAATTTTTGTGCCTAACAGGAAAATTAAGAAAATGTAAGCTTTGGTTTCAGTTTTCTTATATATTACCCAAATAAAGTCCATATCTTACTTCTCTTTAAAGAGTGTATATGGAAACTTAACTTGGACCTGGCACTATGTTTTAGCTCTCATTTCCAACGTTATTCCTTCTCTTTGGAAAACAGTGAGGTCCCCCCACCCCACAGCACCTTATAATTAAATTTTCACCAACCCAGTCCAGTTTGGTCGGGCTCTAGGTGTCACTGGGGATGACAACATGGTACGATGCTCCGTTTTCAACTCCTCACTAGAGGAGGGAACTCACTGAAAGGTGGGGAGTCTGGAATACCCTCATGGAAGAGGTGACATTTGATCTGAGTGTTGAGGAAGGACAGGGGTTAGACAAGAGGAGAAGGTGATGGCAATCACAAGTAGATCTTAAGGAGTTATTTGCAAGTGGTGCTATCTTCCCATGGTATAAAGTATCTTAGACATAACCAGGAAACCATGACCATTACTACTAAGAGTTAGAAAACCTGGGTTCTAGTTCTGGCTTTGCCTCTAACATACCATTTAACCTAAGTAAGTCTCTACCTCTCTATGGGCCTCATTTGTAGAAAGGGAGTTTTGAACTACATCACTTGCAATGTCCCAAGAGTCGAAGGTAAAAACCAGCCCATTTCTTGTTATTTCACAGGCACAATCAATTAACAAAGGAAAAACTCATGAAATTTCCCAAGTAAAATGCCAAACAACGTTGATTCTTTACTCCTACTTAAAAATTATTTTTTATATATTATTTTATTTTGTATAATTCTTACATCATTTTTCATTTTTGCATAAAGTATGCATTTTCATTTTGGTTTATGTAAAAAATATTATCTGCCAAACAACCCATATGGTAGGTTACTGAGGTGTTAAAAATCAACAATGTACCAGTAATAAATCCACAAAGATTAGAATTGCCACTACCAAATAAGGAGAGACAGATTCTGCAGATGCTACAGATGCGTAGACTAAATAACAATAGACTCCTGTCTGTATTTCACAAATGTTAAGGCCTTTAATCTCCAGAGCCCATCTCATGGCCCTTTTATCAACGCCTTTAACCAGTGTAGTCTTGCATTTTGTTGAGAATTCCACAGGGAGTTTAACAATAGATCAGATTCATTCTGTTCCAAGTTTAATGATGTAGAAAATCTAACTACAAGAGGAAAGCTTACAGCTGTCATTGACAAACCGTCTGGTTCCTTCCATTGTCCAACCTCTAAGTCCTGATATCTGTGAGATCTTCATAGACATATATTATGAAAAAATGGTAAATTAAAATCTTCAATATTGAGGTAAATCTCTGCTCCGTGGAAATGCTCCTCTTGCAGGAGGAAATGGAGGGTTTATTTGTGAGGAAAAGAAAACCAGGATTAGATGTTCCTAGACTGTTGCAAATTGTAAAAATTGAAGTGCATCTTCACCCTTACTTCTGTCCTCTCCTCCTTTGCACTCTTAAAGAGCCCTATATCTGGATACACATTTTATGCCTCCATTACCTTTCTCCATCAGTAGTAAGATTTATTTTTCTGAAAATATTAGAAATGAATTTAGTTCTACCCATAAAATAAGTTTGCCTGTAGACAAAAGGGAGTAGTTGAAGACTCCTGATTAGGAATTTTCTTATTGTAATGCTTTAATTCTACTTCTCCATTCCACAACAACTTCAGATTGCTTCCATATTTTCCCTTCCGGGTAATTTGATCTCCATTTAATTCTTGGAAGGAACCCTTCAGACAAAGGTAATCACATTGACATAGGAGGCTCAGGCAAACAGTCTGTGATAGGGAGTGTTGATCAGTGAGATTGGTTCCATAAACAAGATTATCAAAGACTCCACAGATCAGCCAGTGGGTAGGGTTCTGATCCTTCATTAGGCAATTTTAAGTGGTCTTTGGAGTATTCCTCAACCAGGAGGTGTCACTGTTGGAACACATATGACAAGTGTGTAGGACTCTGGGACTCCCGTCTCTACTAGATGAGTGAAAGGATAGAAGAGCCTCAGTTGTTGGATATAGTTGGCTCAATTTTTCTAAGCCTAGAAAGCTGAACCCCATAGCTACTTTACCCAGCACTAGAGTCACTAGATCCATTGAGAACACTTGAAAATTGTATTAAAATGTTCCCTTCTCCCATTTCTGAGCATCTCTGTCTTTCTCCACCATTCTTCTAAGTTAATGATGTTTATGATGATAATGATAACATACACCGGAGCACCATAATGAGTTGCAAACATAAGTTTGAAGGTTAAAGCTAGTGGTATTGCATTCTGTGTCACAAGGGGGAGGTAAAGTTTTCACTATATTACACTTTGCAGATATTGCATATTTTGCAAATTGAAGGTCTGTGGCAACTCTGCATCAAATAACTCTATCAGCACTATTTTTCCAGCAGTTTGTCCTCCCTTTATGTTTCACACCTTGGTAATTCTTACAATATCTCAATTTTTTTCATTTTCATTTTATCTGTTATGGATGTGTGATCAGTGATCTTTGACATTAATTATATTATATGGGGGCACCATTAACTGTCTGATACAGACAATGAACCCAATGGATAAATGTTGGTATACGTTCCAACTGCTCCACCGACTAGCATTCCTCCACCTCTCTCCCTCTCCTTGCGCCTCTCTATTCCCTGAGACATATCAGTATTGAAATCAGGCCAGTTTATAACCCTATGATGGGCTGTAAGTGTTCAAGTGAAATTAATAGTCACACGTCTTTCACTTTAAATTAAAAATTAGAAATGATTAAGCTTAGTGAGGAAGACATATTGGAAGCCAATATAGGTCAAAAGCTAGGCCTCTTGTGCTAAATAGTTAGCCAAGCTG